CTACACAACATCAAGGGATAAAAGTAATAAATTTAGGTATAAAAATAATTTTAATTTTGCATATATTTATGCGATTATTTTCAAATCAATGAAAGCTTTAGCTCAAAATAGATTATATTTACATTGTAATGGCCTTAACTTTTTTTTTGGTACACGAATAAAGTGAATTTAAATTTGATAATAATCAAACCAATTTAGAATATTATATTGCTTTTCTTTTTCAATAAATCCGAAAATGCTAACATTTGGTCTACTGGGAAATGTATAAATATTTATATTAAAAAAAATCGAATATTTAGTTAATTAATAAGGGATGTTAAATTTGTTTTTGTCCATGTATGATAGTAAATGGCAATGGTTATAATATCATTATATTCGAACGAGAGGTAACTTATATAAAACCTTATATTTATGTATATGTAGGTACTAGATATAGGGATTAATAAATTTTCAATTAAATTACCCAGAATTTGTATAGTGCAATCAATATCCTTACATAATTTATATATATTCATGAGTTCCGGTGGATGACATTATAACAATGAATAACACTTAACCCATCTTATTCAAAGTCAATTATTCAAATTTAATTACGTATCCATTTTAAAGTAATAATTTTATTAAATTTAGAGTTCATCAAGCATTGTGTTATGAGTTATAAGTTATAAGTTGTTATACATTTATAATTAGGTGCCAATTTTTATACTTTTTAATTTAAAATTTGTATTACATATTTATTATTATATATAATTTAATCTACACAAACAAATCGAGATTTCTACGTTAGTACATTTTGGGGCAATGGAAGGTAAGTGTTGTATATATATATACAAATACGCACCATGATGTATAGGGTAGTTTAAGAATATTAATGAGTTTTTTTTTCTGCTAATATAATTGATTTGATTAATTGAGCGCAAGAGAGGTTTAAAATAGTTAATATAATTATAGGTAGAGTATAGAGGTATGGAAAATACAATATTGTTTGTAGGATAACAATCATCACYATAATATGCTAGAAAAAATTATGCTAATAAATTCGGGCAATCGATAATATAAAACATAAATTAGAAATCGAATGATTAACACTTATTGTTTAAAATTTGCGTAGAGTACTTAAAGTTCACATTAATAGTTGTAGATGAATAGTTGATGCTTACTTTAATACTGATCACCATGCARTTGTGTAGATGACCGATAATTGGCTGCAGGAGTCAAGGAAAAAAGCCAAAAAGCTCAACTATAATACTCGAAATTAATTTTTGTGGAAAAATTATGATATTCAMGACTGTTTTAGAATACGTGTGACTGCAGTGTGAGCGGATTCGTCCGTTTTTGGCATAGTCAACACGAGACGTCGAGTGCGATCGTTGTTTTTATTATTATAATATCCTGCGTGGTTAAGTAGGCATAGGTAAGATACAAGGTGCACGACCAACTAGTCTGCAGTATTAATAATAAGTCAAAGGCCAAGGCTTCAAAATCGACGGAGATTTGCTTGCTTGGTAGAGTTAATGTTTTAAAAAAATAGTGAAAAATCACAAACAATTAAAAACTAGGTAGAGGATAGCAATTCGTTCGGTATCACACATGGTGACGGCAGGTGATTTATAGATAAATTAATGGTTTTCTCGAGCGCATTCATAACTTTTCTTTCCTCGCCCGTTTGTTTGAACCTGTATAATATTGGTTTAATGATTAGCGTTATAACATTCAATGCAATTAACAATAATTATGCGACAACCGTGGTACAATATCGGTACATAATCGCTTCAAAGTCAATAATGCGATATATAGTATAATAAAAATAAATGTAATACATAGAAACTTAATCTGTCCCTGAATGGTTTCATTCTATAATATTACTCTCAGTGTCAATATAAAAACCTTTTAACTTGAGTGATAATCGTTAATAACCTTCAAATGAAAAAAAGAACTTTAGAAAAGTCGCTCTCAATCGTTATTTTTAAAATTTTAAAATATTTATATGATATTGATAATCGGTTATGGGTAAATTAGTCATCAATTGTTGTGTTGTATAATTATTATTATACCTCGTGCAGAACATCCGTCCAGTTCGTTTTGGTACTCAGCAACCGTTAGGATCTTAAAAAAAAAACAGTAACTATATTATATTGAAAAAAATCTATAGTTTTCGGATCATAGTTTTTTAAATCGTAACGGTCGCCGAGTGCCAAGATAAACTGGTCTGGTTATATCTACATTTTATTTAAACAGTTACTGCAGATCGAGCCAATGGACGTTTTTAATTTTTAGTAAGTATCTATATATATAACCTATATCGTGATACGAATGAGATTTATTACCCCTCCAATTTATGCCTATAATTTTGCAGTTATGCTAGTTTTTATTGTTTTCATCAAACAAACCATTTTTTCTTTTTTTTTATATCAGGCCATTAACTGGGCCTACATTGATGTATAATGTGCTGTATCGTCTTTTTTCTCTACTTCTGACATAATTTACTTTAATAACCGTTGACCACTGCAGCAAGTGTGAAATAACTGTACCRGGCATATACCTGTGAAACAWCGGTGTTTATTGTYGATAACCGACGACCACAGTTCACAGAAATTACAATAAAAAGTGGCATGCTCAAGAATTTTCAATGTYGGGAGGATGATATAACTTGTAAGAAATTAATTATTATTTCAAATAATGTATAAAATTACATTGTTATAATA